TAAGCAAGGCCTTATATAAATAAAGGCAAACCTTCATGTCCCTTTGCTCAAGAATGGGAATAAAGGCCTTTCCTTCATCTATAAAAGGATAGATAAGTCTAGCCAAATCGAGACTAATTTAACTTTGTCTTGTATATTTCTTTTGTTTTTTTTGCATGTATTACATATTATTTAATTTAAAATTTACTATTCGATGTCAAGGTCCCAAGTCATTACTCATTAGGCCATGATAGCCCATAAGCTTGGCTTGGGCCCATGTAGGGCCAGGCCTGGACTTGCAGTCTAGGCCTAAGGTGTAATACAAGCTGGGCCTGGGCCTAGATTAAAGCCCTTATGAGTGATGCTAAACCGGTCCAGCCCATGATTACCCGTAAGTGCTAAGAGTGAGTATCACAGCATTGCTTATATCGTGTCTGATCTTTCACGAATTCATATGCTTCTAAATGAGATGGGCTTTTCACCTCCAACACCTCCTATATTTGTGTGACATAATTTAGGGGCCACTAACCTATTTTCCAATCCCATTTCCCATGCCATAAGTAAGCATATACAATTGAATATTCATTTCGCTTGTGAACAAGTAGTAAATCAATCTTTGCTGGCCAAGTTGCTTCCTACCTGGTGAATTCAGGTTGTGTTTGGTATGGTGTCTGTTTCTACCTGAAACATGTATATTTTTTTAAAGTAAAAGGAAAATTTTATTATTAATCATCAAAGGAGCCTAGGAGGAGAGACATCGAGCTTAACTATTCAGAGGAGCATGAGTAAGCTGTATATTATTCTGTAAGAGTATAAACACAAATATGTAGATAAATTTTGCATTCTTACTCCTTTCAAACTGAGTCTAAGAGTTTGAAACGGTGTTTCAGGGCATTATTAAAAAATAAATATTAGGTGCTTCTTTGGTTATTGAAACAGTTGCTAATTAATAAGTGCCCGTCGGAAGGGCTGGAGCTTTAATTATTGATGAGCTAGTACTACCCTAGGGATGGCAATTTCTATCCTATTAGGTGGGTATTATCCACCTCTACCCTCCCCGATGGGGTGGGTTTTTTCGCTTGAAGGAAGGGTTTTGGGGTGGGAAAGGGTTTTTGGATTCTGCAATCTATATGGGTATGGGTAGGATTCAGTATTAGGTTAAACCTGATACATATTGTTGRAAAGCATATAAACTTTATATATTAGGTGTTGAATTTAATAATATTTTGAAATTTATGTGAAGGATAATTGATTGTTTATGTGTTTCTGCATGTCTTAATCAAATAATTGAAGATTTTGTTGTATATTTGTGTTATTTTATTTATTTATTGATTATATATAACAAAAAAATAATAAGAAATTAGATGTAGGTTCTAAACCCAATCCGCCCCTACCTTTAAATGCGGGAAGGGTTGGGTTAGGGAGGGCTTTGCATTTTCATGTATAAGAAAGGTCTGCATTCTCAAATTCTAACCCGCTATAGATTTTTGGGGCAAATACGGGTTAGAAACTTTTGGAAGACGAATAAAATCTAAAATTTACAAAACCCCCAAACCCTCCCCGTTGCCACCCCTACGTACTCCCTTGTATGTAATGCACTTTTGATGTTTTTAAAAAAAATAATAAAAATAATAATTGATGAACTGCTCTCACTGAGCAACTTTGAAGAAATTGCTAAAAGAAAGAATCCTTACCCCTTTTTTTCTTTTGGCTGAAGTGAAGCATAGATGTTTGGGCTTTTTGGAAGTTTGACCAAACATTGCTTATAGACTGTGTGCGTGACATTACGTTTGTAATTGGGTGGATCTATTTACATCTGAATCCGAGCTAAAATTCAAAATGTTGATTTGGATTTAATTCGAGTATTTGTGCTTAAAATGTGAAAAATTAAGTTTCAAAAAAAWATATATTTTTAACTTATGCATATATAATAAATTTTGTATAAATATAAAGTATTCATAAAATGAGATAATAATTAATTGGACTTGAATCTTAATCGACTGCCGGTCAATGGCTGTTTTGTTCTAACCTATTTGAATCTTCAGCTCGGCCCTTCCAAAGAAGCCTAAGAATAAAATATGGCTTAAGGTGCCACGTGGCTCATTTGATAAGGTCTTTGATCTTTCACCAAGAAGTTGACTTTGGTTACTTTTAATAATAAAGAGGGATTGGATACTATTCACGTGGATCTTAAAACCCACCTCATCCAAAATAGTCACATGTAGACCTGTTGATGGGCAAGGCTCATCCGCTCATACCAAGCTTATATTCTTCATTAACGAAATTTCTTTAGGCTCGAGTTCAAGCCCGGCCCAATCATCGGGCCTACAATTTGGGTCTGAGCCCGAAGCCCGACCTGGGGTTTGTTGCAGGCACATGTTGAGGTGCTAGTCTAAGTTCACCAAAGAAGATAATGAGAAAAAAAAATGGCTGCCGCTGCTGGCCTACGTTCGGAGAGCATTGAAGAAGGAAACAATATTGAGAGGAAACAAGGAACTGAGAATGAGAAGTGAGAACTCTTGGTCCATTCGCTGGAGATCAGTAGAGAAGAAAACACTTGAGAAGACATGCTGGACTGCTGATCCRTTGCTAGGGTTTTGGGAGAATGAGAACTGGAAAACGATGAACAAAGAGGAAAGGTGATAGAGAACACTGTCTCTATTGGCTGTAGCTTGTTGTGGGACGTTATGGGGCGCAGATGTGAATTCTATTGGCTGTAGCTTGTTGGGGCGTAGGAACGGGCCTTTTAATTTCCTCCCGTCCATATTGTAATTGTCCTATATGCTCAGCTAGTTTCAGCTCTTCAGCATATGAACAGTAGAACACTGTCTCTAAGGTCGATAGTGTGCTTTGAGGCTCCATTGCCATTGCTATAAGGTGATAGAGAAAGACCCAATAAACCAAGACAATTAAACATGGACCAATAATCCCAAGTGTGTGAAATGTAATGTACTGGTCTATCARTAGCTGAAAAAGCACTGATCTATCGATGCACTGAGCGAAAATTTTCCACCACAGCATTTACTTATTGCTAATATTGTTAACCATCCACTCTATGGCGTGAATCTGGTTGTTTCTTGCTCTGGAGCCCAAGCTTGTCTTTCGGGTAAGTAGTACATTTGGATTGTGAGGGTGGAATTCCATAATCTTTCTTGTTTCCTAAGGCTCAGTTTAGAAAGAGCATAAATACAAATATATACAATATAAGTACATACAAAATATAATGTTTTGCATTCTATATATTTGTATTTGTACTTCTTCCAAACTGAGCCTAAGCCCCATTATTTTATGATTGCCCTATGAAGTTGTATTGTTATAAATTCATAGGCTCAGTTTGGAAAGAGTACAAATACAAATATGTACGGTGCATATACATACAAAATAATACAAAATACAAGATTTTGCACTTTATATATTTGTATTTGTACTCCTTCAAAACTGAGCCATAATTACAAATGGACAAGGTCAAATCCAATACAGAAAATGCTTTCCACCATCAAGTCTGGACTGGTCCAATTCAATATGTCTTATTGATCCGTTCAATCCATTTAAATTAATTTTGATTCGAATGGATGAGTCCAACCCAAACCCAGTCCTTTGCCGCCCCTACCTGTGCACACAGACCTCTTTTCTGGAAGTAGCTGGTTGCATGAAAATGACTAAATCAATTGTCAAAGGTTACTTAAATCCAAATACATAAATTGGGATCTGGATTTCATACAGTGATAAGCATTGGGCTGGGCTGGGATGGCCTAATCCTGGACTGGCCCAGCTTGGTCCAGCTTCAGCTAAGATAGGGCCGACACTCGGCCTAAGGTAACATTTGATAAATCTGAAATCTAAAAAGTTAAAAATATATTAAAAGTGTCTGAAATCTGAAAAGAATCATAATGCTTTTCTACTTTTTAGATTCTTTGAATAAATAAGGTTATTTGTGTTGGATCAACCATTCAGCATCTGAAGTTCCTTGATTTTACTATTTTACCCCTAAAACAGAACATTTGATAATTTTGAGTTCAATTTACACTATTTCATATCAAATAATTTATGAAATTCAAAATGATATTGAAATAATACAAATAAAAAATAATAAATTAATAAATAATAAATATCACAATTAAAATTATTAAAAATAATTGATGATTAATAAGAAATATTAAAGTAATTAATGCTTAATAAAAATTAAAATAATTATTAACTAATAATTAATAATTAGTGTAACAACAACGTAATCAAAGCCCCACCACGCATCACTGCTACCTGGTTAAGAACATGATCGGTTCCAAAGGTTGAACGGAAATCTGACTTTTCTGATGACAACTTCCCTCACCGACATCTACTTCATTACGGTTCCTGTTTTCTATCACTATCTTTCCAAATCTGATATTCACCATGAAAATCTCATCTTGAGTTCCCCCGGAGTCGAGGATGGAAGCTTTCAACTAGAATGGAAGTAGAAACCCCTATTCTTTGGTAGGAAAATTCTTCATCGCATCATCCAATGCCCCTTTCCAATCTGCCACTTTTCTTCCCAATTTCACAACATTCCTACTCTTCTAATCCTCAATATTGCCTTCTACCGTTAGCTCAAAAGTAGAGAAGCACCAACCATTCCCCTCACCAGTTGTTCGTTTTCTTCCTGTCTCCAAGACTCCAACCTTTGTTTAGCTTCCCCTTCTTCTACTTGGTTACTGGGTTTTTAAGTATCTTCTCTACTAGCCATCTTCTTTGCGCAAGCTCTTCCAGTGCTTCTGCGAACAGTCTCCACCCCTGTTTACTTTTCCCTTTAGGGAAATAGACCAATTGGTGCCTACCATTTCCAAACCTCACTCAGATCGACGAAAAGGCCTTTGTTGTTACACTTTCTCTCCATGAAGAATATCTTCGCTACACTCATCATCTCCATGAAGGAATATCTTCGTTGCTGCTCTAATGTTGGATAGGGTCGATAGTGACTGTTTGAAACCCTAAATATTCGAGAAAATGATGAGGGCTTGCATTTGCAACCATGAAATAGCGAAATGAGCACAAAAGGTGGATTTGAGACATATCTGGAGAAAATCTTCGAAGGTGTGTCTTCCTCGGTGGAGAAGAACACAAATGTTTTAGGGTTGGATTTAAAATGGGGCATAACGTGTCATTTCCAAAACAATGACATGCATTTGAGCGCGTTAAGGGTCGGGCCAACTTCATTGGATTTTAGATCTGAAAAAGCATTTCAGATGCAATACAAACGAGACTGGCATCTGAACAATAAATATTTTAAACTTCAGATCTCTAAAAAGAGTTATCAAACGCGCCCTAAATCTAAATATAGGCCATAGTTTAATTGAAGAAGCGGAAGCAAGTGAAATTTATCGACTATGGAGCATGAAGCATTGAATGATATCAGCCTCAGCCATGTGCCATGCCACCTAAACAGTTGATTTTGCAAGGAACTGCATTGAATGCATGCCGATTCATGTATTCATATATATATACCAGTAATTAAGCATGCGCATTGCACCTATGAATGTTTTTTTTCATATTAATTACTTGAGTTTTAGATATATCATAGTTAAGATAGAAATCAAAAATTAAGAAAAGTAACAATATGATTAAAAATAAACTTAAATACTTGTACTACATGTGCACCTGCAGAAATTTTAAATAAAAATAATTTTTATTTAATATGATGATTATATAACATTAGAAATGTTCCGAAATGTCTTTGACAAAACTCTGTACCTTTTTTATTTTTTTGTTCTATCTTTTTTTTTAAATATTTATTATTCAATTATGACATCATGGATTTCTTTGAAAAGTTGGATCATTGACCCACTATTTAAATAAAGAAATAGCTTTTGCTTTCAAATCAGTTTAGTTTTAAATTATATATTTCATCAACATTATATAAATAATTTTTACTTATTACACTTAATTTTTGTTTAACATAATTAATATATATATTTTTTATATATTCTTTTGACTATATTATGTCTTATGTATAATATTTATTTTTGTGATTCTTCGTATTTTCTATTTTTAAAAATTTTATTATCATTTCTAGGTTGATTTAAATTTTGGCATTCCATTTTTACATTTATAAAAATACTTCTTACATTCCATACTTAATTTTTGTTCAGTATAATGAACATACACTTTTAGTGGCGTGCCCAGTTCTTTTTTTATTTTTGTATTATGACACTATTTATTAATGCATTTGACCCCAAATGGTTGAATTGCTTACTCACCACAGAAAGGGAGAAAATGGTTTTGTTTTCAAATTATTTTTCAAAATATTTATTTTTATATTATTAAAATTAATATTGTGGATTTAATTAGTAGGATTTCATGATGAGAAAAATATATCTTAAATATAGGATTTAATAAGAGAATATACCTTAGATATGAGATTTAATGAGAGATAATAGGAAAATAGTTTTACTTCCAAATTCCAATTGGTTTTAAATTTTATATTCCATTTCTATCATTAATAAAAACTTTTCTTATTTATCATCAATGTTTTTAACCTGTTGTTAACTTGGCCGATTGAACCGTTCAAACCCTCACTCGGCCTTGATTTTGGATGTAGTTCTGTTGAAATTCCCCCTTTTAGTTAAAAGTTGTCTAACCCAAGCAGTTCAACCATTGACCCGTTCGACCTAGTAAGCAAGTTGTAGGTTGCGCATTTAATTATGTGCAAACCTTTGGAAGCGATAACTTTGCACTTTGGTTTTCGATTGGGGTTATCTTTTTTTTTTTTTTTGAGTAACTTTTCAAGATCTATACGTCCCAAGGGCCTTAGGTGTCTTGCGTTGCTATTTTTGCGAAAAACCCCTTTTTTGTCCTCAAATTGTAATTTTTAATATTTTTTATAAATAAAAAATTTAAAACTAAATTAAAAACATAAGTAAATGTAACATAATACATATATTATATGTAATTAATATATGTAAAACATAATTATACTATTTATTGATAAAATATGTATTTTTACACACACACATATAGTGTTGACACAGAGTTGTTTAACTTGTTTTACCTTGATAGTCAAACCGGTGACCTATGACCCGAAGGCAAAAATGGGTCGGTCTCCAGGTCGGTTTTTAAAATATTTCTTATCATACTTATTATTGTTTAATATGTCAAATATATGATGTTAAAAATGTTTCCAATATTTTTAATTTCTATATTTTGTACATTTTATATATTTTTGAATTTTATTATTTAATTATGGTAACATGGATTAACTCATTTGACCCAAATGGTTTAATTTCTTACCACTACCTAGATGAAAACACTATTTTTTCTAGGTAGATTTTAAAAGTATAAGTTTTTATGTTATTGAAATTGTTAATTTATTATGTACGGATTTAATTATAGAATTTAATGATGAGAATAAACAAACAAGCCTTAAATATATGATTCAATGAAGGTGAAAATTAATACCTTAAATATTGGATTTAATGTGAGAGAATTGAATGCATTGAATATCTTAAAATTACCTCTTTTCAACTCATTTAATATCAATAACCAATTACCATATTTGCCCTCATTTTTATCAATATATATATATATAACTTTCTTTTAGGTAAAATATAAAACCTTTCTCTAAGTTTTTGACAATTATAAAATCCTCCCCTGAAGTTTTACTTTAACAAAAACCTCCCTTATAATTTTAAGAAAAATCTTCATTGTCTTAAATGAAAATGTTGGCCTAATGCATTACTTTTAGATACCCATTTTACCCTTATACCTATCAATTCAGATGGAGATTTACTAAAATAATAACATCAGATTAAAAAAAAAAGTAGAGTAATTTTACTTTGTATACTCTTCAAGATCAAGTCTAAGGCTATGTTTGGTTTGTATAGGTTTCCCTACCTTTTCCTTGAAACCAAACAAAGCCTAAATGTCTAGGAGAGCAATTTTGCAACTTAGGCTCCATTTGGAAGGAGTACAAATACAAATATGTAGAGCACAAAACCTTATATTTTGTATTATTTTGTATAAATTTAGAGTGTACATATTTGTATTTGTACTCCTTCCAAACTGAGCTTTATTGCAAGTATATGGAATTTGATATTGTACCACATGCGATGAACAACCTAGAATGAGCCTATATAGATATTGAGTTCCAACACATCCTTCTCCCCTAGGTCGAGCAAGGTTTAACTGAATGTTTATCTATTCAGTAGGCTGTGGAACCAATGATAAGGTTCCACTCTAGTATTTAAATACATAGGGCCTGTATTTTTTACAGTGAGGCCCATGAATTTGTTAATGGCATGGAACCTCATCATTGGTTCCACAGCCCCGTTGAACAGCTTTAAGTATTCAGCTAATTCAAATTCTTCTCAAACCTAGTGCAAAAAGACACCATAGCAACACACTATGCCATAGTTCTCCAATACATCTTCCTGTGAAATTTATGGGATGCACTGCAATGTCTTGGCTTCTCATCGCAAGGCGCTCTGACCTCGCAATGTGATCCCTTCCCCTCTTCATCAACATTAGGTGTTTTTAGGGGAACATCTCAGCACCACATAAGGCTAAGCTACTTAGGGGCGGAGCTAGGATTTATGTTAGGGGGTCAAATACTAATGAACATAGATTAGGGGGGCCAAAAGTTAATAAAACAAGGGTGAAGGGTTAAAGTATAAATGAATCATCAATAGGGATTGTGGGGATTTTGAAAGCATAGGGGGGGCCATGGCTCCCCTCCGCCACCCCCTTGGCTCCACCCTTGAAGCTACTAGAATGAGAGTAACGACATGCTTGCTCACGTGTGGGCTCTGGGAGAAGAGAAATCTTCAATCTGCATGCAAAGTTCAAAATATCGTTACGTATCAGTCCGTATCGGAGCCTTCCCGATATACCCCTACAGGGGGTGTATTAGGTCAGGCCATAGTTCAAAGGGTAGCCGGGACTTAACCTGATTTAAAAATAAATAAATAAAACATAAAAAACACCAATATGTATCGATATTTAGAACCTTGTCTGCATGGAAATGTTGTGTAACCCTAACCCACTTACCAAATCCAAAGCCAACAGATTCGGGATTGCCTTTTTAAAGATAGAAACCTTTATAAATAAGGGACCTCCGAGAGTTCCCTCAAGCATTCACTATTGATACCTTGTGCTAGGGGCGGAGCCAGGGGGGACCAGGGGAGCCATGCCCCCCTTATGGCCCAAAAATCCCCACTATTTCATGTAAATTTCCCCCTCCCCCATTCCTCACTCCAATGGGTTGGCCCCCCTTATGACCATTCATATTTATTCCCCCCCCCCCTCTCCCCCCAATCCACCTTAGGTTTTGGTCCCCCTCATGAAAATTTCCTAGCTCCATCCCTGCCCTGTGCAGGTCCTCTTACCCTATAACCCTAGTCTTCCTTTCCTCCTCACCTTCCCCCTTTCGTTTTCAGTCTCACCAAAATCATCTCCACCACCATCTAATGTCCTTCAGGTAGACGTCCCCGATGCCACATACCACCAATCTCTACTTACAAATTCTCTATTATTGGGATAAAATGATGCATACGCAAGGGGAGGTAAAACTACAAGTTTTGAAAAATTATAGGGGAGGTTTTTGTTAAAATAAATCCTTAGGTAGGGGTGTCAACGGTATTCGAAAATCCAATTTTGAATTCGAGATTCGACATAATCGAATCAAATTCAGATAATTCGAATATCTAACTGGTCGAATTCGAATATTTTATTCATAACGAAAAGCTAATCGGATTCGAATTCAGATATGACCTGATTCAATTCGATAAATATCCAAATTTGAATGATTATTTAATTCTTATATATAATATATAAAATTTTTAAATATTTTATATAATTTATATATAATAATTAAATTATATACATAATTTATATATTTATATACTTTATATAAATAAAATATTTATTAACTACCTAAAATAATTAATTAGTCAAATTCAAATCGGATTGAATATTCAAATATTTAATCAGATTCGAATTCGAATATTAATATTCAATATCCTTTGGATACCGAATCGAATCGGATATCAATTTTTTTAATCGGATTCGAATTCGGATATTGCTTGATCCGATTCTAATTCGATCCGTTTACACCCCTATCCTTAGGGGAGGTTTTTATGATTGTCAAAAGCCTATGGGGAGATTTTTATATTTTATCCTTGCATAAAGTTGTGTGAAGATGAGGGCTTTAAGTCTTTAAGGCTGTGTTTGGTTGCAGTACAAATTTATTTGTACTAGTACAAATGCATGGGAGTGTAAATGTGAAAAATGCAAATTCTTGTTTAATTTTTTTTGGTTTTACTTTATTCTGCTTCATGTCTTAATTTATTTCATTTGTACTGCAATCAACAAAGTAAGCTAAAATTTAAAACAAAAATAAGTCAGAAATTAGAAAATATTTGAAGAATCTTCACTGATAAATTTATATTTATTGTGCACCTTTTTCGAGTTACCTCCACTAAACTAGCTAGTAAGCTGTTATGGATGCTTACCCAAAAAGGAAAGAAAGACTTAAAACTGTTATGGAGGACGACAAAGCACCGAAACCCAGACTTCCTCCAAATATTTTACTGTCATGACTCATGACCACCAACTTCTATGCTTTAACTCTTTTTCCAGATCCCACGGCGGTTGATCAGAGAGGTGTATGTCCACGAGTTCCGAGTTCCAACGCGGCCGAAGTACTCGACAAGGAGATTAATGGAATGGAATGGCCTATGAATAAGAGAGAAAGTGAGTGAATGAGTGAGTGAGAGGTGACCATGAATCTTCCTCAGCGACGCTGTTCTTCTTCTCTCATGGTCGTGCTGTTTGTTGTGATGATACCCTTTGTTGCATTCAGTGTAGCAGTTTGTACGGTGGGTGGTAAGAGCTCCTCTGGTTTTTTTTCTCTGAGTACTGCTTCAGCTGAAGGGACTGAGAATGTGAAGCCTTTTGCTTACAAGAAGAAAGAAGTAGAAAACGAAGAAGATGAAGCCCTCTCCATTTCTTTTAGCTTCAATGTATCGTTTTCCCCGCCATTAATGCGTCCTAACAAGACAGGTCTATACTCTAACCAGTAAGTCCTTGATTATTTTCTTTTCCCAGCTACTTCGCATCTTTGCCCACAAGATGAACATGAATATGATCAGATTCAAAATTCCTAGTCTCTTTGGTGCCTTGAATTCTAGTTTGGAGACTCATTTCAAGACTGTTGTGCATTAAATTGAACAAAACCCGAAAGCAAAATTTAACAGTAATTTGTGATAAAAATGAATGTAGAGACTGTTCTGGCATGGTTATTTGGCTGTCACATTTTTCCATACATCCGGTGGATCCGATTGGATAAGCCATCAAAATTTCGGGGGTGGTTTCTTAAGTTTTTTTCTGAGAAAATCTTTCGCTAGTTCTGACAGTCAAAAGATGTATTGACCTTTTTGCATTAAGATCTGAATAGTCTGAAGCCCGTTTTTATTAAGGCGTGTTTTTTTGCACGTCTTTTTGTGTGAAGATGAATAAAAAAATTATAAAAATTTCATTTAAAACTTTTTGAAAATTGCCCGTTTTAGGCTTTTCGCATCTTTTTGGTGCATCGGCTTTTGACGACTAAGATCTACCATGAACCAAATGAAAAAAGACTAAATCACAGTCTGTAGAACTTGTAAATAACTGGCAAAACATGTGGAAAGACGCACCAAACAAGGCCTAAATTAAGTTTGATCTGATCTATTACCCATTTTCAGTTCTATTTTGTTCTGGATTTAACATTAGGTTGCGTGAAGGTATGACGGGTCTATGAACTGTCAATTCATCAGTATTCTTTCCTGCCCCATTTCAATAAATCAACACAATTCACAATTTATAAAGGGGTTGACTCCAGTCTCCATATAAAACATATAAAACATGATGGTATTAGAGTCTGTTTGATTTTCATGCCTGTAGGTAGTCTGTAATTCTGTATCTTTAGGTGATTTATGACAATTAGAAAACTGTCATGCTACTTCCCACTGTTTAGGAGAGAGAGAGGGGTTCTCTAATTAGGCTATGTTTGATTTTGATTTGAAAGAAAAAGAAGGGAAGAAGGGAAAAATGGGGAAATCTCGTTTTTTTTAAAGCCAAACACAGCCTTAATCCGATTACAAAGATGCAATTACTTCCTGTTATCTAATGGCTAGAATAATTACGCAGAATGTCCATTACAGTTGTGAAGGGTGGTCACAGTAAATTACAAAGGCTTGAAGCAAATCTAGCAAGAGCTCGAGCTCTTATAAGGAAAGCCTCTCAAAACCAAACATCGCCGTTACAAAGTGGGGAAGACTACATTCCACAAGGAACTATTTATCACAATGCCCACGAATTTCATCGGTACAAATTTGTACTCCTATCTTTCTTTTATCTACCTCTCTCACCATTCTTTGTCTTGGACGAGATGCATGTGATTTCTCAATTGTAGGAGCTATTTGGAAATGGAGAAGTTGTTTAAAATATTCGTGTATGAAGATGGAGATCCACCACTATTCCACAATGGTCCTTGCAAGGGTATATACTCTACAGAAGGGAGGTTCATTCACCAGATTGAAATCAATAAACAGTTCCTCCGAACCAGGGATCCCGCCCGAGCTCTTGTTTACTTCCTTCCCATCAGCATAGCCCGTTCTGTTCAATTGCTTTATGTGCCCGATTCCCGTGATATTGGCCCCATTAAACGGATTGCCATTATGTTAATGCCATTGCTGCCAAATATCCCTACTGGAATAGAAGCCTCGGTGCTGATCATTTCTTGTTTTCTTGTCACGACTGGGTAAATTGCGATGCATTATTGCTCTCATTCCATTACTGTTTCGTGCTGTTGATAACAATAGGAAATTGTCGCTTCATATTCTTTTTAGGAAAATTTATGGTCTGTTCTCCGCAGAAATTTTTATTGGTTTCTAAATGCATTGTCTCAAACCTCACCTATGCTACACAATCTCTCTTGAATTGTGACTGATTATTTGTACAAACTCAAAAATTTATGAAATGGACTGAACAATAAAAACCCCCGAATTGCTCATTTGCCAAAAACCGTTGATTTGGTCAATGACTCACTAATATGGGTGGCCAAACTGTTGACCCGTTTGATCCAAATAATGGTTTTTTGYCATTTTTAATTATTATTATTATTTGTTTAAATTATTGTCTGTTTGGACTGGATGGTCAAACCTCTGACCTGAAAACTAGTGGCCAAAGTGGTTCTAGTTCCAGATCGGTTTTTAAAACATTATTTTTTAATGACCACCTAATTGCTTAAGCTTTTAGATTGAGGGTTTATTATTGAGATGGTATTTGAACCTTCTTAATAACCAAGTGATTTAGTGATCAATCCTTTTCGCCCCTATTATAATTAATTAAATTTCAATTTAAGGTATGAATGGACCTCACCTATGACAACCTATAACAATTTAAACTTTTAGGTTGAAGAGTTCCTTGTAATGAATGGACCTGTGGTTCTGGATTTCAATTTCAATTTAAGGTATGAATGGACCTCACCTATGAATGGACCTGTGGTTCTCTCTGATAAATAAAATCCTATAAAAAGACCTCACCTATGACAACCTATAACAATTTAAACTTTTAGGTTGAAGAGTTCCTTGTAATGCTGTACTTAATTAAGCTTTTTCTTTTTGTTGCACGGGCCTCTCATATCTGCTTACATTCCTTACCTTCACCAAAACTCAATTCGGGTTTTATGCAATGCTAATACCTCTGAGGGATTCAACCCTTCAAGAGATGTGTCATTTCCCGAAATCAATCTCAGAAAGAGGTGATATTTCAGCTTTTTTAGGTGGTCTTCCCCCTCAGGCTCGCCAAATTCTTGCTTTCTTTGCTGGGAAGCAGCACGGCCATGTCCGACTGTTGCTGTTTGAGCACTGGAAAGACAAGGACGAAGAGTTACAGGTCTATGAACACCTGCCCAGAGGAATATCTTACAGAGAGATGATGAGGAGGAGCAACTACTGTCTCTGCCCAAGTGGGTATGAAGTTGCTAGTCCAAGAGTTGCCGAAGCAATCTATGCAGAATGTGTTCCAGTGTTGATTTCAGACCATTATGTTCCCCCATTCAGTGATGTTCTGAACTGGAAGTCCTTTTCTGTTCAGGTTCAGGTGAGAGACATCCCCAACCTGAAGAGCATTTTGATGGGCACATCTGAGGCGCAGTATATAAGAATGCAAGCAAGGGTGAAGCAGGTTCAGAAGCATTTTATAGTGAATGATCCTCCCACAAGGTTTGATGCCTTCCACATGACCATTCACTCAATCTGGTTAAGGAGATTAAATGTCCATATTCATGATTAACAGATAAATTACAATGCTCTGGGAGGCATAGCAGAATTTTTTTTTTTTTTTTTTGTATTTTGTTGATATGCCCAAATCTCTCAAATGGGCCGCTTGAGTAGGCAGCACAAATGTAATAACCCGGTTCAAACCCGACTAGACCCAATTAGGAGTGCAAATGGATCGGATCAAGGTCCAATCTGATCCTATTTGGTCATATTTGGACATCTTCATATCAGATCGGATAATAGGATCAGATAAAAAATTTAATCAGATTCAGATCACCCCCATCCAATCTGATATATATTATATATTAATAAATATAAATATATATAATACATATACATATGTTATTTATTTATTTATAAATATATTTTTATAAATTTATTATATTATTTATTTTTTATAAAAAAACATGTATATATATGATGAAAATAATTAAAAAATACTTGTATTTTTTTTACTTTATTTTAAATTAGTACATTTTTTTCTTTTAATAGTTTTTTAATTTTTAAAGAAAACAAGTAGGATCGAATCAAATCCAAAGATCCGATTCAAATTGAGTCCTATCATATCTGATCGGATCATATCCAACATGAACAGTATTGAATCAAATTTGAATCCGATCCAATCTGTTTGCATCCCTAGACCCAATCCCATTGTGAATTCACATATGTGCCCCACAAAGGCGCCCCACAGTATATCCCAACCGTATATTGGAAGCATCTCCCACTGACGAATTCGAGAGATATTTCCAATACACGCTGAGATATGCATGTGGGGCACAGATGTAATCTCTCCATTGCCAGGTCTATCCCTAAGCTTTAATTCCCTGAACTTTATTGCAACAGAGCCCCTGTACTTCTGGATTCCAGCATTTACACCCAGTTGTTGGCATTCTATGAATTAATTCCATGGAATATTCCTCTAAACATTTTTAAACTGACATTGTTTTATAAGACCATTTTGTCCTTTTAACTTAGCTTTTCTAAAATCCTAACTCTTACATATTTCTCTCAACATTTTTTCAACAAAGTTCATCAATCTCGAGAATACTTTGCAAATGATCGGTTTAACAATGTCTTAAGAATGGTTTGTTCCTATAAAATGGTTATTTTCAACAATTTGATATTTGTTGGCATGGTTCAAAGTATTGATATGCTCTCACCCAATGTTCAAAGTATTGCAATATAGGTCTGTATTGTATGATATGTATCAATTTTCAAGATCACCAATACAGGTGTATCATGGCTTATGATTGTTGATATATAAATTTCTGGCCCAGGAAGTAAAGTAAATAGGACCCACTATAAAATCGAAGGGCCTACTAAAAGGAGATGTTCTTTTAGGTGGGACCAGTACATTGGCCCATTAAGCTCAAGGAGACACAGGTAGGGTCCAATGAAAATGCAAATTAAGAAAGTGACAGGCTTAAGCCTTTAATCACTTGATTTCCAAATACACCGATCCTATACAAGATATCAAATTAGAAAAGAAATCTCAAATTGAAATCGATGATAGATTAGCAAAATTTTAAATTGGATTTATTGGATCCAGCAATTGAGAGGCTTAATTGATCTAACAAAGAAAGAGATCGTGGCTGGTTAATGGATTTAAAGCTGCATGGGCCTTACCCTTTTTTGCCAAGTGGCACTTGGCTTTAAATAAGAGGGGAACAAACCCAACCCATTTCCTAATTAGCTTTTAAATAGGATAAATTGATTACTAAATCATCAATCTAGTGGGCTCCCATATTAATTATGCAAGCTGGCTGAATTCAATTTTGAATTCAAGTCTTCAGTCGAACTTGTCTAAGAGAAGACRTTATAAATAGATGGAGGAAGCTCTCACCCTCCTTTAGCTCTCTTTTGGTCCTTTCTCCCGTTCTCACACTTCGGCTCCTCAATTCTTTGGCCCACTCTTAATTCTTTCAAAAAAAAGGGGAAGAAGAAGGGGTGATTGTACCAAGATCAAGGGAAGAAGAATCGGAATTTTGGTTCCTCAACCATTGAAGCTCTGAAACTGTTACAACTCTATGCAACGTCGGTTGAAGGATTCCGGTCTTTGAGTTGTTGCAATCAAAAGCTTTATCAAATTACTACAACAAAAAAAAATAAAGAAAGTTCTCCTATCTTGTGCGCATACATTGTTGCAAGTTCTTTCTACAACTACAAGTTATCAAACTTTTTGGATCATGTCGTGACAAGGTACAAGTATAAGATCGGGTTGTGTTTGTGACAAGAGAATCAGAGGATTTTCTTTGCAAAAAAAAAAAAAGAGTTTGTATCCACTTACATTTGTATAAAAGGAAAAAGTTAATTAAATTTCTTTGAATTTGTCTACATATTTTTTTATGCTCCAAATTTACGTATGAAATTTGTGTTGACAAATTTCTAGCATGCCTGGTGGGACATCTCTTTCCTCTCATCTCTTAAGTCAACACATCAAGTTTGTTTTTGGCAAACGGTTTGGGCACATGACTTCAAAKAAAACCATTTCAAGTGTCGTTGGGAACAAGAAAAACACCACATATAGCTCAAGCTTGTCCAAATCAAGTGCATTTTTAGCCTCCAACTACGAAAGGCCAACCACTCGCCTAATGACGAGATTTGGAGATTCACAACTGGTTGCACCTCTCGCCTTCTATGGAACTTAGGGGGCCCCTTCAAAAGTCTGAAATGCCTAAAAGAGACCTTCAAGGTTGCCGATGGCAAAAGACACCAATGCAAAGGGGGTAACCCTAATGAAAGAGTTTGTTTCAACAACTCCGCTTGAGCATCCAAATGGAAAAATACCCGTGTCAGACGTAGAATCTAGTACCGGCTCAAGGTCCAACTCTCATCCCAACTCTCCTAAGATTGGGAGCTACATGCAGACTCATGTAATCTAGTCTAATTACATGCAGACTCACTCCTACATTTCAGTAATACACATCATGATGGTGGGAGCCACTATAGTGGAAGAACAACTTGCTGAGATGGCTTCGACCATCACTAAGTTAACAAAGATGGTGGAAGAGAAGGACCTTCAAATTGCTTCTCTCAGGAACTGAATAGAACAAATGCAAACAATGACATCCAACCAAGGGCCTTCACACCCACCAGGATTCACCTTGCGAGTAGACCCTCCCCGAGAGGAGTTTCTAGAACGTATTAACATACGGGACACCCAACATGTTTTGGTTGCCTCCCTCTCAGTACAACAACTCCACATGATAGCTAACACAATACGTGCTCATTATGGGGGTATTCCACAGTCATCCTCAGTGTATAGTAAGTCATACATTGAGCACATTGATTATATGTCTATGTCGTTAGGGTACCAACCCCTGAAGTTTCAATCATTTGACGGGAAAGGTAACCCCAGACAACATATTGCGCACTTTGTGGAGACGTGCAACAATGTCGGGACTTATGGTGTTCTGATGGTACAGCAATTTGTACGATCTCTACAAGGAAATGCTTTTGATTGGTACACTGACCTCCCTTCTAGATCAATTGATAGTTTTTATAGTACTTGACGTATTGTAAGCATGTATGAACTCACCACCACAAAACAAAAAAAAGATGAACTAATCGTTAAATTGATAGGTGGAGAAATCTGTACCTCAATTGTCGAGACAAACTCTCAGAAGCTTCAGCTATTGATACTTGTATTCAAGGCATGCATTGGGGTTTTCATTACATCCTCAAGGAAATAAAACCCCGGACATTTGAGGAATTGGCCACCCGCGTCAATGATATGGAGCTTAGCTTGGTTACCTTTGGAGAACATCACCCAGATGATTTCCAAAGGAAAAAGGAAAAGAAAGATGGTGAAAATGAGACGAAATTGTCTAGGCCGATGCAAGTTCTAGCAACCACAATAGCCCTTCTCAAGGTTATTAGGAAGAAAAAAAAAGCAAGAAATGAAATCAAATGTTCAACAAAAGAAAGAAAATCCAAAACTCACTCTGAAAGAATTGGAAGCAAAGGTGTACCCATTCCCTGATTCAGATGTCCTAGAAATATTGGATGCCCTTCTAACCGAAAAGCTTATAAAACTTCCTAATAGTAAATGCCTAGATGAAGAAGGGAAAATTGATTATCCAAAGTATTGTCGTTATCATTGGGTAATTAGCCACCTAGTCTAAAAATTTTCTCCTCAAAGATGAAATAATGCAATTGGCTGAGTCAGGAGTGATCGAACTAGGTCTATGTGAGGACATAGCGACCACTTACATGACAATCATTACATTTGGATCCTTTGAACCTGAGGCTCTCCAATGCCCTCATCGTCTTGTCATTTATGAACTTACACCGGGGGCATCACTAAATCAAACACAAATCCCCAGTGACCCTTCTACTTTTTGCCATACACTAGGGGCAATACTAAATCAAGCATAAGCACATGCGTTAAGTCCTAAGGAAATTACTTTACCCTAGTCCGCCATGTCACTCTCAAAAGATTACTAGACCATCATTAAACAATAGGAACATCATGTGACACACCAGTTCCCTCCACCTTGTGAGCAATTAAAGAAGAGTAAAAGGAGGGTTCGGTCACAGAAACCTCCCGAAAGCAAGAAAAGACAAGGCAAGAACACTATTACCCAACCATCGCAAGTGGTAACTAATGAGTTTTGAAACAAGTCCCTCGACTCCCAATTGCTCTACAAGAGTACATACAAAAGGAATTCTTTTCTAGAGGATGTGTAGCTGTGTATATAGTCACATGTTACGCGAAAATCAAATGAGTCAAAGTTCGCTCTTGGATATGAGCCTAAACTATCTATGCTCCCAGATATGAGCTTAAACTATCTAATTTAAAAAAAAAAAAAGAAAAACAAAATTTGCTCCCAGATACGAGCATAAACTGTTTGTAAGACTCCTAAGTATGAGTATAATAAACTATTCAACTTCCAAATAACTCAAAGTTTGCTCCCAGATACGAGCATAAACTATCTGCAAGACTCCTGGGTATGAGTATAAACGATTCAACTTTCAAGTTTGCTCCTAAATATGAGCATACATTGTTTGCAA